TGTTAAAAATTAGAAAACTTCACATTTGAAATTTAAAAAATACCAAGAAAGAAACATCTCCGAATATATAATTGAGAAAATAACATATTACAAGATGTATTTTTCTTTAAAACATGTGTATTTCTACCTACGTGCAAGATATAAAGGTTCTACATTTAAGTTTTTTGCTACCAGAATGCTATTTGCAAATTCTCCTTAACAGAAAATCCAGCTTTCCGAAGTGTATTGAATGACATGACAAAGCTTATGTGGTTTAGGACCTGAGAAAACCATGATAGAAAGAGCAACTCATGTTACAAGGATATTTGAAATGTATCCTGTAAGTAAAAATTCATACCACTAAATCCGGACAACCTGTCCATATATGCCCATACATACACAATTAAATAGTAATTATACAAGAGCAGAATGCAAGAGATCGAACATCAGTGAACTATAAAACTTTGAAGATTATCATTATTTTATTGCTTTGTATTTGCCCCATTAACTGATTCTTTTACACATATATGTTATTCTTATGATTTGATTAATAGTAAAAGAATGCTACGAAATTTAACTCTAAAATACTATCTTGTTTCCCATGTATAGTTAATGCTATTAGGAAGTGCCCACTGTCCAATGTTGAGTCAAGAATTCAGGGCATCAAACTCCATGTATAGTGTGACTAGGATGGATCTAAGGAAGAGAAATGGAAATATTTATTTTGTGTGTGCGTTTGTTTTATGCTCTGGAATATCGGGAATGTATTAATGAAGTATAGGGTAAATCTATTTTTATTCTTTTCTTTTTTATTTGAGACATAGTCTGGCTCTCCTACCCTTGGCTAGATTGCCATGGTGTCAAACTAGCTCTGAGCCTCCTCAAACTTCTGGGCTCCAGCAATCCTTTTGCCTCACCCTCCAGAGTAGGTGGAACTACAGGCATGGACCACATTGCCAGGCTAATTTTTTTATGTATTTTTAATTGTCTGCCTAATTTCTTTCTATATTTTAGTATAGACCAGATCTTGCTTTTCCTCAGGTTGGTTGGAACTTTAGGGCTCAGTTAAGTTTCAGATGGAAACCAAAGGCCAAAGTGCAGCAGCCTGATGAAGTTTCCTGAAGCTGGGCAAAATGGAAGGCTACCATATTTCCTGGTTCTTCTATGACTTGATGGCGTTTTTTCAGACAGGACGGGCGGGAGAAGAGGGCCTAGGGAGCAGTACTTGTTATCATATATGGACCTCTACTGCCATCGTGCGGAATTAGTTTTCAAACACCGTATGCCCTATCGCTTCATTCCCCTGAGAACTTTTGGTTTAGAAGACTTTGTTCAGCTGAGAGGATGAGGAGGCCCTGGTCTGGAATGGGGGACTCTCTGACTTTTCTTGAGGTGTTCCAGGAGCTCTGGGTATAGGATTAATGCTGGTATAAGAAAGGCGATGGACAGGTATCAGAGATATTTATTGAGGGGCAGAATGGAGTCTACGCCCAGGTAGTTGTTGGGTGGGGCTTTGGTTGAGGAAACATTGCAGAGCCCATTGTAGGACATCTGGCCCCTCCCTGGTGTCCTGTCTCTCTCTCTTGGAGGATGGTACAGGTCAGTTCACCTTTCTCTGCACCCATAGAATTTCAGCTACTTGTGGTAGCATGATCGCAGTGCATACGACAGGTTTTTCGAGACGATAGGACAGCACACTTTCTTGCTGGGGGATTTCGTACACAACAAAAGTCAGGAACACTTTTCCTTGAGGAAGGAGAACAAATGGAGAAGCATTTTCGGCCACCCTGCTAAGCAAAGACAAGCCATACTGTGTGCTGGGGGAGCAGAGGCAGGCATGAAGGAGGCAAAAAATATGAGGAAGGCCAGAAAGGATTCTCTGGGCCAAAAGGCAGCAAAGACAGTGACTTGGATCTGCTTTTTCCTGCCTAAGGCAAAGGCGTTATTCCAGTCTCAGTTCTCTTGGTGAGATTGCAAGAGCAGGGTGAGGTGTTCTTATCTCTCAGTTGTTCTCCCAGAGAATCCTGAGTTCCTTGAAGCCTAGCAGTGCTCTTTATACTTAATAAATGATCTCTTTGTCACCATTGTATAAGAGTTGCACGTGAAGATTCCTAGTAAGCCTTACAAGATGGCCATTGTGTTGGTGCCAAATTTTCTCAAATCTTTGCTGCTTGATCCCAACTTGGGGAAGAATTTCTAGGATTACTTGAGATTCACTGGGAAACTGAGAACCATTCTGGTGCCCCTCTTCTAGTGTCTTCACTCTGTCAGCATTTGACTTCTTAGAGTAGTGGAAGATGATTTAATCTTGTGCTTAGTAGTGAGCTTCCTGTGACAGAATATATTTAACAATTATTTTATGTTATATTCAAACCAAAGGCAGGATGAGCGAAGTAATTAAATACCCAATTGACAAAAGAATTATTCCTACTGTTTATTAAACAAATGGAAAAGTACTGAAATTTACTAGTGTTTAAGCATTAATTGTCAACAAACTTTGTGCTTATGTATACACTAGTTTATAAATACATGTACCACTATTTGCACATACTTATATCTGTGCATGCATACTCCTTATATATGTATTTATATATAAAGGAGAGTTATTTTAATGTACTTCTGTAGTATATGATCACCACCTAAACTGTGCTTTCCCAGGTGTAGGTATGACACTTGCCAGTAAGTGTCTAGGATATCTTACAAGAACCATGTGTTTTCTGGGCAAATTGGCTCTTCTGGTGTCCTTGCCTCTGTCTAGCTGTCCTTGAGGATGTTATTGCTTGAGATCAGCCAAGGAGGGTTTGGAGACACTGGATAAATCATGTCTCAATGGTCTCAGGTCACTTATGAAGGTAAATGATGATCTCTGACCTCTTCAGGTTACTTCAGCTATGCAGGTGACAGA